TGAGGGTGACTGTGGAGCAATTGGTGGAATGAAGATTGGCAGGGGAAACCGAAGTACTCGGAGAAAACCTGCCCCAGTGCCTCTTTGTCCACCACAAATCCCACTTGACCAGACCCAGGATCGAACCCGGGTGGCCGCAAGTGTAGTAGATAAATGAATAGGTTGTGTAACATGATACTAATCTCACCTACAGAGGCAACTTGCAATACTGGTTTAATTTTTTCTTGAATTATGATACAGTATGCTTTGGTCTAATCTGTAATTTGAAATCACCTTTTAGGACATAGTCATTTAAGAAATCCTTACAAAATTTTTCCCAGAATATCTTAAGAGGGCTGCACTCTATTTCAGTCTCTTTTTGTTTAAGGTGATGCGAGAATACAAAATACGAAAAGCTGACATTGCTTCACTGACTGCTTCCATTCAGGCAAAGGAAATTGAGTGTGAAAAACTGAAAGAGAAAATGGCAGAAACTGAAGGAATGTGGCTTCCACCTCTGAAGAAACTTGTGTCACAGATTAACAAGAAATATGGGGAATGTTTTGCTCGCCTTGGATGTGTTGGTGAAGTGGCTTTACTTACAGGACAGAATGAGGTAAAACATTTCAGATTTGTGACTTGCTGATTTGCTGATGTTCTGCATGCTTGGCCAGCAGCCACTGATTTCCTGTGGGATTGGTGGATCCAGGGAACACTTAAGACTGGTGGGTGGAAGAGTCCCATTTGCTCTAGATGATCAGTACAACAAATGCAGACTGTTTCTGATATAACAGCATCACTTCACATCAGGAAGGTAGTTCACAATGAAGGTGCAGGAAACTAATGACACTGCATGGGATGTGGAGCTTTGGTTGCTGGCTGTTACTGGCTCATAGTTGTGTAGAGTTGTTTTAACTTTGTTATTTAACAGTGCTGTCAGTATTGAAACTATAGCATCAATGATAGGGTGATTAATGTGTATGGAGCAGTTGTTGGAATGATAATTGGCAGGGGAGACCTAAGTACTCAAAGAAAACCTGCCCCAGTGCATCTCTGTCCACTACAGATCCCACATGATCTGACCTGGGATCATTGCTGGGCCACCGCTGTGGGAAGCCGGCAACTAACTGCCAGGTCTGTGGCATGGCCTTTATATAACCTTTGACCTTCAGTTTCTCACAGAATGTCACTTTTTTTCTGCAAACAAAAAATATATTTGGATCATAATTTCATAGTCTAACATACAGCAAAATGTTATCATGGGACAGTCATGGGGTTTCTTGTAATAAAATGAACGTGCAAAGCTGCAAAATAGATAGTTCTGGGTCACTGTAACACAGCATGGCATTTCATATGAAAGTTTGTGACATCAGGAGGCATGGAAATATTGGCAGCTCTTCAGAAATTGAATTTTGCGTTATAATTTGTGCATGGAATGAATCAGACACTTGGTAATGCCAATATTTCTCTTCTGTGCTGTGTATCACCAGTGGTATGGTCAGACGGGGTTTATAATGGTTGTCTCACTCCATAGCAATAGCCTTCTTGTGCCTTTTCCAGAATGACTATGAACAGTATGGCCTTCGCATTAAAGTTAAGTTCAGAGATCAGGACCTGCTTCAGGAATTGACTCAGAATCTCCAGAGTGGGGGCGAACGGTCTGTTGCCACAGCGATATACATGATATCGTTACAAGAACTTACACGTGTGCCTTTCTGTTGTGTGGATGAGATAAACCAGGTAATGCGATGCAGCCCATGTGAACATGAAGAGTGTCTAAATATTAGGTATCACAGTTGTGTGGGCACCATAAATTGTTGATTTGTTTTCCTGTGTAAGCTAGTTTTTTGTAACAGGTTTTACAAAACACCTGCTTCTCCAAAATGACATCCAAAATATGCGCTGAAGGTCAGCCTTTTGCTACCCATCCACAGATTTGAACCATGTTTCTCTGTTCAGCCACTATCTGTGCCTTTTTCTGTGGCATGGCATATCACACTGCTGCTACCTCACTCCTAATATGTTGTGCATCACATTATCCTCTTTAGCCAGTCATGCATCTGTGTCCCCTTCCTCTCTGCTGCTACCTTCAGCTTCCCAGTTGCTTGCTAGCATACAGCTCTGGCCTTTGGTTTCCTAGACTTCAGAGTGGTCGTATTGCTCTAAATTCTCTGCTGACTTGCTCTGCTTTGTTCCAAAATTCTCTATCTGGAAGTCATGTGACTGAGGTCCATCAAGGGGCCCTTGCCTT